TTTTTTTCATGTTAATCTATATTTGTATAGAATTCAGATAAAAACCTTAACAATGAAGATTAAACTGGATAAATGGGGGGAAAATGCAGGTAAAGGGTTAGCAAAGACCAGAAGCATGAGACTCATGCACATGGAAAGTCTACAAATCTTAGCTAGTATATTATAAATATCTAATAGTATTAGGTTATTTGGAAAACATTGTCTGATTTTAGAATATTTTGTGTTCTAATATATTACATTGGGTTTCTTTTAAAAGCCTTTCATTATACAAAATGATGAAGTAACAATATTATCAATTTTATTATTAATTACACATTTTAATTTGTATTTAAAGATGTTAAAAGAAGGTTTATTGTTCCACTTACCTTCGCAGTTAACACATTGCATGAAAATTTTGAGTAATAGCTTAAAACAGATGTTTTTTTTTGTTTTTTGTTTTTTTTCAAAATAAGTATATTTTTTTATTAATTATTAGTTAATAGATAAAATTTTTCTGGTCCCAAAACAAATGAAAAGCACCAAAAACACCTTAATGCAAATATATCCTGATTTAAAGTATGAAAATAAATTATTTTATAATATCAATAGATATGTTTTTCTTTGTATTAAGAGAAATTTCATTCATAAAACAAACTTTGAATAAAAAAAATTAATAATTAATGCTAAAGACAGTAAAATTAAAAAAAAAAAAAAAAAATGTTTATTGTTTAACTATGAGTTAACAAATGAAAATTTGATGTAATAGCTAAAGAAAGGGTGTGTAATGTTTTTTCAAGATAAGTATAAAATAGTTATTTCTTCCTCGTATTTATTTCAAAATATGTAATAGTAGCAAATCAACATGTATCCATTTATTTATTTACCATCAAGTCATGTGATACACATAACCTCTTCACCTTTCAAGTAATTATTTATTAAAAAAAAAAAAATTAATGTAGTATAGTGAATTGTATAGATATGTTGTGTTATGCATATTTAAATTTAATAATGTTTATAATTTTTCACACGCATAAGTTGGATATAATATGCACGTGTTTGTTTATATCTGTTGATTGATATTAAAATATGTATTAAAAAAATACTGAATTTCCTATTAAACTACCATAAAAACAGAAAAACAGTCCTCAGCAAAAAAAAAAAAATAAGCAAAATAAAAGAAAACTTGTCTAATTTTAATGAAATTTGGCACTGCATTCAGAGGGGTTCAAGGTATAGATATTTACTTGATGCCCCACTGAGTCGGGATGTGACACAAGGTCAGTTTTTAATGTGGTGAACCTGAGTGTTTTCACTCTGGCCACTGATCTAAGCTGGTCTTAGCTGGTCAGAGCTGGTCTAAGCTAGTCATAGCCATGATACTACCAGCACAGGGCCGGAGGGGTTCATGGTATAATATACTCCACAATATTATGTATCATTTAACCTGTATGTCGTAGATAAGTATAGCTGGCCACTCGTATTCAAGGATATCTGTCTACTAGTGCTGCTAACCAATCCCTATTGTAGACGCTTGCTCAGGCACATTTGCGTTTATTCAACACCCACAGAGCCCACCTGTGGTTTATACTGCAACTATGCTGAGCAACCTTAGTTACAGTTTCTGGGAAAGAGTGTGTTATCTAGCGTGATCAACAATTTGAACAAGACCAGCGCACACAAACCCTTGGCCATGCTGACTTGTGACTTCATGCTAGCACAGCTATCAACGGACACCAAGGGTTCTGTCTACCAAATTTCACTCACAAAGCTTGGGTCAGCCCGTGGTATGGTTTTCAGGCACTTTCCAAAGGTGCCACATGCTGGGATTGACCCCTCCAGTCCAATAACATCAAGAAATCTCCTTCCTAACAAATCAACTATGGTGAGATTCAAATCCAGGTCTCATGGTCAGAATGCAAACATTCTAACCACTCAGCCACGTGCCAAAATATCTCAGGGATATTCATATGTACATACATACAAGATTAGAATTTTAGTATTATATAGATAATAGTTTAAAAAGTATCTTGCTATTAACTATTCCCAACAAATAATAATTGTATACTTACATACATTGTATTTATTCAGTAATTTATCTAAAAGTTAGTCATTAATCAAAAAAAAAAAAAATTCTTCAGATTGACATTTTGAGCCTAGAAGGGTAGCATTGCTAATATGAGATGAATTCATTGTAGAAATATTGAAAAAAATCTTCAAACATAAGAAAATAAAAAGTTAAAAATTTTATACTGTATTGTTGCCCCTGGGATTACACAAATCTTGGCCACTTGAAAATTTTATATTACATTTCTAAAACATTTATAGTTAGCTTATTTTAAACTTAAAAATTTCTTTTAAATAATAACTTCTGTTCAAATGCTACAATACTATTTAATTTTTAATGTTTCTGCTTGTATAATCTACAGATTGTCTGTCATAAAGCTATCTTATTTTTGTTATATAAACTGTATGCTTTAAATGTACATATTTATTGTTGTAAAATTCATAACAATGAATATGCTAAGTAATATCAATCCTCCTATATGGAAGTGAGATATGCTGGACAATTTTCTCACATATGAATCTTGAGGCAACAGAAGAATTCTGATAATATCATGTACAGAAGATGTGATCAATGAGGAAGTTTTAAGGAAAATGAAAACAAAAAGAACACTTTTGCTTAGGGAAAGAAACAGTTGGATTTTTTGAGACACATAATGAGGAAAGAGGCCTTGGACAATTTAACACAAGGCATACTGAAGACAAGGTAGAGGGAAGCAATTATTGACCTACCTAACAAACTTGTGTAAATGAATGGCAGAACTGGGACTAGGAGGAATAGTAAGGGGACAAACATTGCTAAGAGCAATAAAAGATGGGAAGCCGTGGAAAACTATGATCACCCACATCATGAAAGCTGCTAGGAGGAGGTTAAAATGTTACTGATTGCCAATAAGCCATTTTGAAAGATTTTAGCATGTAGAAAATAAAACATTTTTTAATCATTTCATCCCAATTAAGGCAATAATGCCATTAGGACACAAGGGGTTCCTAGGAGTGAAAGAGTGAGAAGACTTTAGACAGGGTTCAGGAAGATGGGAATTGGCATTTAAATTTTTGAAGATTTTGAGGAGTAGGGAGGCAAAAAGTAGGGAGTTTCACATGTGAGAAAGGCAAAAAAGGAAACTATTAGAATATATGGTTGCATCTACCTAGTTCAACAGTAAAATGGTAAGACCTAGTTGCCAATTTCCCATTTTCCAACTTTAATATACAAGGAGGTGCTGAAATCCATTTCTCAAAATCAGTATTGGTAATAATATATTGAGAAGTGTGTTTGGCTAAGAATTTTTCAGCATTCTCTCCTCAGAAAGCAGAGTTAAATGTCTTGATATTATATTATTTATTTTTTATCAACAACAATCATCTGTTTTGGTAAAAAAAAAAAAATGTAGCCCTTCTGCAATGTACATAAAATGCTTAAATATAAATTTCACTCTTATTTTGAATTATGTTTTTAAAATATCTTTCCAAAATCACAAAATTTTTAAACTTTATTTTACTCTATACTATTAAGTAATCAAAAGATATTCTTTATTTCATGACATCTGAATATTAAAAGCAAAATTCTTTTCTTAATGTTGGCAAAGTATTTTCCTTATACCTTTTCTAAATATGTTTAGTTTTATTTTACACCTGGAAATAAAGTAATTTATTATAGTAAGAATTTTATTTACCAAGCTTAATAATATTATTTTATTTACCAAGGTTAATAATATGAAATTATTTTCTGCCTATATTTCTGAGATACAATTGTAACTATTTACACTATTAGGTTGGTGCAAAAATAATGTCGTTTTTTGACGTTCAACTTAACGTCAAAAACGACATTATTTTTGCACCAACCTAATACATTGGCCCAGTGGATAAAAGCATTGGTTGAAATAATCCTAAAGTGACTTGACCCAAAGAGTTGTAAGTTCAGTACCTGGCTACAACTTTGACAGTTGATTCACTAAATGGAATTAACTGAAAACTGAGATATACAGCAAAGGCATGGAACTAGAACAATCTACCCCTGTGGATTAAATAAAGGTGTTCTGTTGGAAATTCCAATGTATATCACCTGAAGAAGGCTGAAGCATGATAAATATGACAATAAAGATGAGGACAACAGTTCGAACAATGTAAATAGTTATCTTACTTTCTTTGTTTAATTCATTATGTAATTATTATTTTACTTTGGGTCTGTCTTTTAAGTAATATTTTAAAACAATAAAATAAGATTTTTGGCTCCCTAACATGTCAAATGCCAATCTATACTGGAACATACAAATCTCAGTTACAAGTCAGCAGCACGATGTATGTGTAATTTCTTGAAAACAATGACGTTTCTTTTTTTTTTTTTCCAGCTTTGGTGAAAGTGATTGGTAAGACTTAGAAAAGCACAAATGTTCATAAAGATAAAAAAAAAAAAATGAAAAAGTTTTTAAATGTTTGAGAGAGACCCTAAAAACAAATCTTGCACTAGCTTATGTCAGTAATGCTTTTCTTTAAAATTTCACTATCATTGTCTTTGTAAAGTTGTATAAAACAACTGTAAAAATGTTTTATTTTTATATATACACACACATATATAATTGTGTATTTGGGAAGCAATCCCTCTTTTATACAAGTTTCATTAGAGACAGCTGACAAGGTACAGCAGTTTAGCTTTTTATTTAATTTTTCTTGCGTTCATATAAGTTTGATTTTTGTTTTTTTTACAAAAAAACAAAAAAAATCTACACATTCAGTTAAAAATAAAAAAAACAAACAAAAAAAACATCCTTGATAATGGTTAAAAGAATAGCCAAAAGCCATACAAAATATTTGGACAATTTTTACACTGTCCAGAAAAAAAAACTTATATGAACACAAGAAAAATTAAATAAAAAGCTTAAATGCAGTACGTTGTCGGTAGTCTGTTATGAAACATATATATTCTTTAACTTATCCTTACTTATGGTTGTATCTTTCAGAATACAGAGAGATGACATGAAGAGCCATCAACGTCAGCTTTCTGGAGGAGTTAGCAATCCAGGTATTAACATTTTCTTTTTAATCAAGAAAAATTGTAGAAACTGATAGAATGCTTAATATTTTATAAAAAAGAAGACAATGATTTTCTTAGAGCTTAGTTCCAACTAATTTCCTCATAATCCATGTTCCATGTTTTATCACAACATTTCAGCAGTTTACACTCTGGCCTTCCTCAGCTGTTGTTTTTGGGATGTTGGAACATGAGAGGTGGAAGCACATACCCCTCAATTTGACATTCTATAAAACATAAATTTGATAGAAACCCAAGAGTATGTGTTTGAAATGTGCTAAACAGACACAGAATTAGTTGGAGTAAACTTATATACAATAATACAATAATTAAAACAACTCTTCTGAAAAAAAATGTTCAAGATATGAACTATTTTCTTTATGAGGTAAATTTTGATCAAATTATTTATCTTGCAAACACATGCACTGCAATCTGTATTTGAATAAAAGAAACAATGAAGCATCTTATATAATTCTGCTTAGCACAACCGTTGTGCCCTGCCAATACCTCAAATAATGGACTATTCCATTTTGATTGTTGAAAATATGGAAAAACATCAGAAATGCTACTTGTTTTCAGTGAGAAAATTGAAGAAAGAAGGGAGGATAAGTGTTTAATGTCTGTTTCAGTGAAATAGAAAACCTCTATTCAAATCTTTTCATTTGTACCCTCTTACTTCTTTAAATAATGATCAGCATTCGTATTTATAATTGTTGTTGCAATATTTTGTTAAAGTTGTTAAGCTCAAATATTTAACAGCAGAATTGCTACATATATGTTATTGTAGAACTCACCATGAGTTTATTCAAGCATTAAGAATTACGATTCATCAGAAAATTGAAATAGGAAAAGTGAAATTTTCATGGGTACTTCTCATATAGTAATATTCTTCATTGTTTCTTTTATTGTTAGAATAATAATTTTTATATTTTTTTCTGACAAGGTATAAAACTGACCACCCTTTCTTATATTCAGATATAACTTAGATTTTTTTTTTTTTTAATCTTGTAACCCATTTTAGACTATAGTGGCTACCCCCATACAATGTAGCAGCAATGGGTATGTCAAGGGCATGATTGCTTGGTAAAGTTCATTCCTCTCCAGGTTGTTTTTTTGCATTCAGTTGTATTCTTCTAACCTGGAGACCTTAATGAGACTAAAGGGCGTACTTTGCCCTACTATTTTACTTGTAGCTAGAATGGATTCATTCTATTCCTAAGAGCATTAATTCAAATTGAACTTGACAAGACTTGGCCAGAAGTTGAACTTGGCTTCTTGGTTCCATTATGCCAACTGTACCTCAACACTCAACTTTGGAATTAGAAGTGACACCATTTTTTTCTTAATATTATTTACTTATTAAATGTCTGACATGAATCAATGGCTTGCACAGCAAGATTTTTTTTCTGTTCTGTAATATTTGTTTTTGATCCCTCTGCTATAATCAGGTATTTGAAATCACAACTCTTTGGGTCAAGTCACATTTTGGATTATTCAACCAATGCTTTTATCCACTGGACCATGTATCCTTGGAGAATTGAGTTGCTAAAGGGAATGAACTGAAACTGAATTATCTTTAAAAAAAAAAAAAAAAAAGGCATGGCACATGTTATTAGAACATTCTACTCCTGTGAAATAAATAAAGGTGTTCAGTTTGAAATTCCAATGTATATCACCTGAACAAGGCCGGAGCTTACAATGACCGGAACATCATGAATATGGCAACAAAGATGTGGGCAACAGCTCCAGTCTACAATCAATGTAATCATCCCCCTTAGCTCTTTACTAAGAATTTACGTCATTACTCTATATGATTGTTTTTAGTTTTTGGCTCTTGTCTAACCACACTGCACTTCCTTCCAACTTCCCTAAAATAAACAAATAAAAGTAGGTACTCTAGAGTTTAGCTAAATATAGATACCAAGGGCTGACTGCATTCTCTACATTCTTAACTGCTTGGAGGAAGGTACTTTACTTAGTTTTGCTCTGTCTACCCTTAGCTTGATCAAATAATATATATATATATATATATATATATATGGGGATGTATGCTGTAACCTCTTGAAATGTGAACTGACCAATTACAAAAAGTCTTCCTCTACAAAGCTCCAGAGTTGAGATGCTGAATATAACATCAATCAGCTAAAAAATTTTATATTTGTATTAATAATATAGTTTTAAGGTATGCTATATTTGTGAGCAAAATTGCTCAATATAGAATGTATGTAAATCATAAAGATGCCCTGAAGATTGCATTCAAGCATGAAACATTCTGTCACCACTCAGTATTGATATTGGTGTCCACTTATATATAATATAATATATATATATATATATATATATATATATATATATATATATATATATATAGCATTCTGCATTATTAATATTACTTCCTTTCTACTACATTCTTTTTCAAGGCCTCTCAGTTACAGTATTGTTATTAATTTCAAAGTTGTTTTCTGTTCCCATAGTATGGAATTCAAACACATTTGTTCAGGGATCAGTCACCTTGAGTGGCAGGATAAACTTTTTTGTACCGTGAAGGAAGTCACACACAGTGATAAAGGTTAATGTATGTGTCAACTATCATAAATTTGACGTCATCAACAAATTTGTTTAGCTTAATTATTTCACTCTTTATTTACATGTTTTTTCTTTAACAAAACATCACATGTGCAATAAATAATTGTCAATGTCTAATGTTTATTTTAATATAAAATGTATATTTTGATTTTTTTCTATCATCTAATTTAGTTACTACTAAATTAGATGATAGAAAAAAAATCACAATTCTTTTTTAATTGAAATCACTCTTCCTTTTCTTAACTTTGTCTTTTGTAAAAAAAAAAACAAAAAAAACACAACAATCAAAACAATCTTGTAAAATATCTGATAATCTTGAGTAGATTTGTCCTTTCAATTCATCATGTGTGTCATCAGTGGTCATATGCTAGTTCAAAAATACCATTCAACATTATCATCAATTTGCTATTGCCTACAACTTGCCAAAAAGAAAACATTTAGTAGACATTGAATCTATAAATAACAATCTACTAAATATTGATTTGAACAAAGCCACGAACACCAGTGTTGTCTAGTGTGACAAATGCCAATCTAATCTCCGCGATAATAGTAACAAGAGTCCTCTTCTAATAAACATGTTTTCAGTGCAATTATATTTCATTCATGCGACTGTGGAATAAAGTTTAGAGTTGAAATTGCCAGATGTAACCATAAGTTCTACGCTAACAGCTTCTTCTCCCACACATGGAACTCTCTTCTGGCTTCTTGCTTTCCAGTCAACTTTGACCTTCAAAAATTTAAATGCAATGTCAGTTGTCATCATTTGTATCCTTAATATCTGTTCTTTTATTGTTCTCTCTCTTTAATGTTTTCTTTTTTTCATATTCTCATATTCTCTCACACTCGATCACAACCTGGTATCTTGCCTTCAATCACTTTCCCAATGACATAATATAGCTTTCCTGTGCCTTTTGTATAAATATTTTCATGGCAATTATTCTGCTGAGCTTTCGTCTTTGGTTTCTCAACTTCACAAATTTAAGCACAGTACTAGATTGGCAGCTAGGTCTCTACATTCTACTGTTGAGATTGCTAGATAGGACGATAATTTCTATTCTAGTAGTTTTTCTCTAGTACTTCTCACTTGTGGAATTCTCTTCTGGCTTTTTGCTTTCCTGTCAACTATGGTCTTCAAAGATTTAAATGCAACATTAATTACCATCTTATGTCTCCTTGAATACTGTTTTTTTTATTATTATTATTATTATTATTATGCTCTGTTTTTTTTTCCTGTTTCTTTCACTCTCAGTAAGCCCTTGTGTTTTGTTTTAATGGCTTTACCACATTCTTTGGGGGGGATGATGATGATGATGATACAACAATACCACATCTTGAAAATACACTAAGCAAATGTTAAAATTAAAGTTAAAACATATTTTTTTTTATCACAAATCACTGAGGTTTGTAGATTAGTTTTACTTTGAACATTTACACATCACTTTTGAGTAAAGGAGTAGCATTTCTTGGTCTCACTCAAGTAATCTATAGTTTTAAAGGGGAAACTTTAGATATTTGGTGGGTGTGTTTAATACAGACTGGCTATTTAGTTTTATACATGAAATAATCTAGTTAAATGTTTATTCAGCAGCTGAGTGACGATTTTATTGAAAATGGCAAGACAAAATCATTAGTTCATTTTTAAATGGAATCTGTGGAGTGAGTACCCATGGTCAAATGCAAAATAAGTAACAGAACTGTCCAATAGTTGAAGTGACATAGTTTGCAATAAGCAATAACAAGAAAAACAAAAGTAAAGATATTATAAAGCAAGCAAACAATATATGCAAGGCAAATTAACAGTAATATAGCAAAAAATTCACAAACTAAGAATTAGCATCAACACACAAAAGCAAGTTTGGACTTCAAAACAAGACAGATTAGGACTGAGTTAGATGGAACCATGAACTGTCGTATTTTATTGGCTAGGAAAAAATCTACATTTTTTTTTTTTATTATTCAAAAATAGTTTTATTCAGAATGAATACTTAAACACTGGAAACATATTCCATCTAATTATGAAAAATTATATTATGTAAATAGCCGTCATTCTCAATTTCACCCAGATGTACCATTTTCATTTCTCTATAACAGTTGTTAATAGCTCTGACTGAAGCTACCAAATTTCTGTACCGATGTTATCCTGGAGTTGAGGAATTGTCTGCAGTTTATTGCTATACATGCTTAAGTTTTTGCCAAAGAAAATAACCAGGAGGTGTCGGATCAGGAGATGTGGTGGCCATAAAATTTCAGAATTTTATGAAATTAACTGATGACCAAAAAGTTTCATTAAGTTGGAAATAAAATTCCATGATTTCAGTTGTGAATTTTTCCTATGTTAATCTAAGTTCAAAGGTAGAAAAAGAAATAAAGTGTATGACAAATCTGACATTCACTCTTTCTCTTCACTCCCTTTCCCCTCTTTCGTTCCTTTCCCCTCTTTCGTTTCTTTCCCCTCTTTCTTCCCACTAACCTTGACTGATTTTTTAAATAAATGAATAAATTTCTGATTGGTTCCATTTTTGTAGTTTAAAAAAGACTTTTCCTTCTGGAAATATGCAGTTCCTATTTATTATTTAATCCCCAAGATCTTTATAACAGACACAAATTAACTGCCTTCACCTTTGAGATTTTCCTTTCCTACTTAAACAATCCGGCATTCATTAAGCTTATAATTTAATAATGGTCTTAACAGTTGCTTTGATAATAATAATTTCATTGTTGTGGCTTTCTTTACAATTTATACTGTAGCCAATTTGTTTCCATAATTTGCAATCAAAGGAAAAGAAACTATGAAATTATCAGTTGTCACTCTGAGAAATCTAAATTCCTATTAGATTAGTGATAAGAGTACATGAAGAATAAAGAGCTGTTTTATATAGTTTTTTTAAACAGTAATTTTAAATAATAACTTGAATCTTTATCTGTAGAGTTACACAAGATTATCAAAATGTTCATAGCTTTATGATAAAAAAAAATATTTTTATATAATATTCATTTTTCAACTTAATCTCCTTCCTTATCAATAGACTTAATCTAATACTTCTTCACAGATCAAACATTATACAGTGAAAATTTCAGATCAAAATTCAGCTATGTTGGACTATGGACTTAGTGATAAGTTATAATTTATAATCTGTGTATAATCTGAAATTTCTATTTAAATTATGTTTTGAACAAACTACTAAATCTAACATTCAAAATTATAAAAATTTCAAAAATCCTTAAATAGAGTTATCCTTTGTGTATAGATTGCAAGGGAACATAAGTCACAGTTTGAAAATGCAGAGAAATTTGAGGGACGGTAGTTCATTTTCATGTATAAAATACACTTGATTTTAGAGCAAAGAAAATTACCAAAACTTGTGCAAAGGGAAAAGAAAAATTTAAAACAAAAAAAAATGGATATTTTGTTTATTTTTGTGATTCATAAGCATTACAAAAATGTGATAATAACTTTTGGGGTATAAGGCAGCTAAATTGCCAATATACACCGAGAAAATAAATCAAAATAAAATTGAATAAATATTTGTTTGGTTTTAATTTTCAGTTGACAATCTGAGGAATTTATTTAGAAATTATTTGTGTCATCCAGAAAAAATCTGTTTGTGAGGAATCCAAGTGAATTTTCTGTGCTCCTAGGCATCTGAGATTTGTGAGTGGAAGGTTGTAGTCATTGAATCCTTCAAACTTGCTTTGTCATCAGATCTGTAGAACTGATAAGATTCTTTCTGTCATGCATCATTTTGTCATTTTTTAATCATAAATTAAATAATATTTTTACCTTTTGAATGATTTCCAAACCCACATAAGCTTACAACCACATACTATTGAAACACCGGTTCCCATATAATTACCAAAGTTAGTCAACCTCTAGATAGGTGACTACTTGGGAATACCAGGTAAGCTTGAATGTATGGGTGGTGTAACAAGATAATAGCTTGGAATTGTTAATTAGAGAGCAAAGTTCTAATTCCCATTGGGTTCGTTATATTCACTTATGCGCAAATACCCTTCAGAAAGTTATGAATCCATTTCTTCTCCACCCCAGCTATGGGTTAATTAGTAAGACTTGTATCACTAAATAATTATCTCTTCCAAAAAAAAAAAAATTTACACTAGAAATATTTTCTGGCTTTAAATAACTTGCAAAGGGTTGATAAACCATAGAAAACAAATCAAACTCAAGTAGATGTCTGGATTCAACAAAATCTGGAAAAAGTATGAAACCATATGGGACTTGGAGAAACATTATGAAAGATTTATCTCCCTTTGTTTCAATATGCCATTAGATAGATATTATCTTTCTGGTAAACAAACAAATCCAATTTGACTCGGTTATGTCTGTTTTGAACCATAGAAAAAAAAGGATTGATTTCTAAATTAAAGTATATGATACAATAGACTTTTGGACGCAATTTTGGACGAAAAAACCTGTGTCTTATACATACAGGATTACAGTACTTAATAAAGGTTATTGTTAACAAATGTCATAATCACATTATCCTTCCTTTCATTTATTTTTTTTTTCTTTCTTTCTCCGAAATTCTTGCAGGTTCGATCGGAATGAAAGACTCGTCTCCACAATCAATGATGTCAGTGAATCCTGCTGGTGGAATGAGTCGGGAACAGGTATCATCTTCATGTCAGCCGCCTGCAGCACCACCGGTGCCCCCTGCACCACCTGGGCCACCTGCTCCGCCATCTGCTGGCCCACCCAAGACCCCAGCTGCTCCTGCTGTGCCAGCCATACCCCAGCCTCCACCTGTTGGAGCGCCGCCACCACCCCCTCCCCCACCACCTCCTCCAGCAGTCCCCACTGCAATGCCTGCGCCTGCCCCTGGAGGAGGGGGACTAGCCGACGCACTCCAGAAAGCAAAGTTAAAGTCTGTTAACCGGGTAAGTGTCCGTTGACAGGAATAAAACCAATTCTGGTTAGTTATTTGTCTGTTCAGTTCGGTTAAGCACTAAAATCGATCTCTGATGGCATCTGACAAGAAAATTTATAAATTTTGTAAAAGATAGTTAATTGTGTAATAATATTAAAGAAATAATTTTGATTTATAGAAAAAAAATTAATTTCCAAAATGTTTATTTTTATATTAATTAAATGACTATCTATAAATTTGGACAATTGAACCTCCTCTTTGTAGACTTGATGATCCATTCTCCATGCTTTATCAGGTATCGGGAGAAAGAAGCCTTTTAACCTTAACCCCCCCCCAAAAAAAAATTCTTGATTTTTAAAAAAATTTTTTTTTTTTTTTTTTTAATGGAGGAGCAGGTAATGTTTCCTATCACCCTGTCTATACACCTGACATAGACTGAAAGAGATCAACTAAAATCTGTTAACAAAATCATGTCTACAGAGAATGAGTTCAGTTGTCCAAACAGTATTTGGAATAATTATTTTGCATTAAAAAAAAAAAAAATTCCTATTCACTGAATACATTTTTTTGAATTTAAAAAACAAAAATTTTTTTTTTTGAAGCAGACACCAAATTTCAAGATTATTTTTCAATCCTCACCCACTTCATTTCTGTTTATGCTCATAAAAAAAAACCCAAAAAAAAAACCTGTATATAAAAATATTTTTTGGTTCCTTAATTTTTTCTTACTATTAAGAAAAAAAAAAAACTGAGGCCATAGTAACTTTACGTAAATCATTTTCAAATGCATAAAAGCAGAAATCCTTATTGGCCCTTTTTCTTCTTGTAAAATAACAAGAGGAACAATTATTGCTACATGTTTCCTCTAACCAAATAATTATCATTTAATATTGATAACATAAAGACTTTTTAGAAGCTTGACTTATATATTTAATATACAATCATGATTTTGTGGAACCATTAATTTTAGTTTTAAATTATTTCCTCTTGTTGTGTTTTGATTAAAACCATTTCATTTGCAAAATTTTTAAACTTTTGTTTCCCTCCCCCCCCCCAATCACCGGCTCTCTAATTTATGTAAATATCTATTTTTCTTATTTTCAGTAAAAATAATGAGGTGGCCCTGAAAAGTTATTTGCTTGAATTCTGATATTTGGGCTGACAACTTTTCAGTACACCAATTGTATAAATTATAATTGTTTATATTTTCTTTGTGCACTTTCCAATAATTTTTTGTGATTTTAAAAATAATATCCTTTTAAAATGAATATTTGATAAATGAGCACATTTTCCATACATGATAAAATCAAAAAAGGCATCAGGGAAATAAATTTTAAATTTAAAAAAAGAAAAAAAAAAGACTACTTTTAATATGCTGTATATACTCACGTATCGTGATTTTGAAGTCAATTTTAAGGGGGTCACATATGCAATATATAGAATTAGCATATGTACTGCTTCACTGTTGTAATTTGTTCTCTCAAAAAAGGAATTCTCAAATGAATCATTTTTTATAAGTGAAAATTTGGGGGTTGCGCAATATATGCAAGATCATGCATGACACGAGTATATATGGTAACCAAGTCTGTTTCATATACAATATATTTCTTTTGCTGAAGATTGTTAAAATATATATATGCCATCAAAACTTTAAAGTTTTTGAGCTAAAAAAAAAAAAAAAAGAAAATTAATGGCCAAAACAAAGTTCTGTGAAAAGATTCTCTAATTTACACTATTTACATTCGGACTGTTGTCTTCATATTTGTTGTTATTGCAACTTTTCAGATGTTGCTCTCTTTGGCTTTTATCAGGTGTACATTGATCTGGGTAACCTTCAGGGAATTCTGAACTGAACCCTTTATTTAATCTACATGGGTAATGGCCAAAATGTTGTGATAGCAAGAAGAAAGATGAAGACACTTGTCCAAATGTAAATAGCATAAATCATAACTACTCATCCCAGTGATTCTATAAATTATTTAATATCTGTATTATAAATATTAACCACATTTAATTATAAATCTTTTTCAATATTTTTTTTAACCACACAATAAGTTACTTCTTTAAATTACTTAACTGAATTGAACAGACAAGTCCATATTTGTCCATAGAATTTAGTTGTAAAATACCTGGCATTTTTTATTTAGCCAGGTAATCAAAGGGGAGAAATATCTTTTACATTTACGTAGTATCCCAGTTTAATATTCCTCTACCCTAGTATGTAATTTTCATATAGTGAGTTACAATAATTATGTACTTTAGTAACCATTAGTTATAAAATCTTTCTAAACCTCATTAATATTTATCATCTGAATTCGGCAAATTTCTGGCTAATTCTAAATAAAATAAAAACCATAATTTATAGTACCATAATCTGTTACTGTGGGTTTTATCAGTCTGTATGGGTTGTATGTCCATTTCTATATAAATGTATTAAAATCTTTATTTTAGTAGAAATTACCTGTAGGTAACTTGTAAGTTAGCTTCTTTTTTTCTTTATTAAGTAAGCCAATAAAGCTACTAAGATGTACTGAATATGAGGGAATATCAGAAAAAAATTATTAAGAAAAAGACCAATAAAAGAAGGGAAATTAAGAAGACTGAAGATAACGATTGACATTGCATTTAAATTTTTGATTATCAAAGTTAACTGGAAAGCAAGAAGCCAGAAGATAGTTCCACAAGAGAGAAATGTGAGAGAAGAAACTGTTAACATAGAACTTGCGGTTGCATCTAGCCATTTCAACTGTAAAATGATGAGATCCTGCTGCCAATCTAGTAATGTGCTTAAATACATAGTCTAGGTACCATAGAGGAAAGTTTATCAGAACAATTACCCTGAAAATATATATGGAAAAAGCACAGCTAGCTACATTATGGCAGTGGGAAAGGGAATAAAGATGAGATGCTAAGTCAGGACCAATAACATTGCAAATTCTTCTTTACATTTTATCAAGAATCTCTAAATAATAATCTTATTTTAACTGTTTAAGAATTATCTTTGTAGCAAGAAGCAAATGACTATTCATCTACAGGCCCAGATGTTACTTCATTTCTACTTTGTGTTATTTTAAAGCTTTTATTACTTAACATCTTTTACTGTAAGATATCTCTATTAAAAGCAAATAGCTTCACCTTGTAAATGAATTGAAGTATAAAGAACAAAAAGTCAGTTTAGTATAGAAAATAAGAATTGTTGGAAAAGGTGAAGGAATAAAAATGCAGACTAAAAAATTAAATTAGTATTTTTTTTCTTTTTTTGGTATCACTCCAATCAAGGCAGTGCAGTCACTAACATGCAAGGAGTTACAGGGTGTGGACAAAATTAGGAACAGAAACATTAGTAATGAGGAATAAGAGAAAAGAACAATCAGGACAGCAGATAGCAATTGACATTGCAACTTTTTACAGATTAAAGTTGGCTGGAAAGCATGGATCTGGAAAGGAGTCCCACAAGCAAGAAATGCAAGAAAAAAAACTTAGCTATATCCAGCTAGCTCAACTGTAAATTGATGAGATTTCGATGCCAGTCTAGTATTGCACTTAAATTCATACAGTCTAGGTACCATAGTTAAGATCTCATCTGAACAATTACCATGAAAGTATTTATAAAAAAGGCACAGAGGCAACCCTACGATGGTGAGCAAGTGACTGGTGCCAAGAGGCCAGATTATTCAAAATATTATGACTGGTTCCTTTCTTTTCATACATTTGAGTTTCATTGTCTACTTTTTGTGATTTGACTTGACTTCATTAAATGTCCAGTTTTAGCATAATCAGCTTTACTGTTTTGAATAAAAAGAAAACTTAAAGGAACTTGAAATGTTTTCTATTGATTGAGGCAGCTGAAACCAGATTCAGATAAAATGTAAGCTTTTTTTTATCATTTCTCTGTGTATTTTCCAGTCTTAATCAAATGACTTGCAGATTATAAAAGGCAAACTATGCTAAGGACATTAATGCACAGATCTTCTACCTTTTTAATTTCCTTCTCTTGTAGGACCTGCTTACATGGAAGTTTTCTTTGGGGCAGGTGGCATGGCTCATCTAGAAAAGGCTTCAAGAATAAATTATTCTTTGGTCTGCCATGCTTAATTAACTTGGACATCAAGCCAGAGTGTAGCTGTATCCTTTGGCTGAGTTTTGCACTCAATGTTCACTCCCATCCACAGATAGTTCATACATGTGTGTGTGTGTGTGTGTGTATATATATATATATATATATATATATCATGTATGCACATGATAAATAAAAAAAAAATAGGAAACGTATATCAATCTAACCTGCTTCACTTTTACTAAAGCTTTAGCAGAGATTTTCTCTTAATCTCTGATGAAGCATTAATAAAAGTGAAACATGTTAGATTGATATACATTTCCTATTTGTTTTTTTATTTCATCATCTTGTCAGATTACAATTCATATTTGATCTGCAACTCATATAAAATTGAAGATGACTGACAAGACACTGCGATTAAGTTTATTATATTTTTCTTGCATGCATACAAGATATTTCTTTTTTAGGCATAGTATTTTTATTAAGACTGCAAGGCTAAGTATTAAAAGCAAATAAAACCTTGCTTGATTTTGTAGCTCTTTGTAGCTGAGTGGTTGAAGCACACCAGATCAGATGGTAGTTTCTCCTGCAATGGAGGATTCATGTCTGGATCCTGCTGGAGAGCACATTTTCTTTAATAAGTTTTCTCAAGTTTCCAGGCCAGTAGACAAAATAATTGTGGTTTAAACTACAAAACAAAACAGAAAATGGAGTGTCTGCTCATACAGGTATCTGCTAAAAATAACATTTAAAGTAATAAAAACATAGTGTGTAAGAACTGTTCAAATGATCTTTCAGCTAGTCTTTCAGCTAGTCTAATAGACATTATCAAGGATGTTTTTGTCTGTTTTAATATGTACATTGTGATGGTAATCTGATGATTATGTTTGGGAATTAAAACATTTCTATTACTATCTACATATTAAGACAATCAAAACCATTTTTGATAATGG